AAAGTGGGCAAAGGATATGAACAGACACTTTATGAAAGAAGACATATGTAAGGCCAACAAACACATGAAAAAATGCTCATCACTGGTCATTAGAGAAATGCAAATCAGAACTACATTGAGATACCATCTCACAGCAGTTAGAATGGCGGTCATTAAAAAATCTGGAGACAACAGATGCTGGAGAGCATGTGGAGAAATAGGAACACTTTTACACTGTTGGTGGGAGTGTCAATTAATTCAACCATTGTGGAAGGCAGTGTGGCGATTCCTCAAGGACCTAGAAATAGAAATCCCATTTGACCCAGCAATCCCATTACTGGGTATATATCCAAAGGATTACAAATCATTCTACTATAAGGACACATGGACATGAATGTTCATTGCAGCACTGTTTACAATAGCAAAGACCTGGAACCAACCCAAATGCCCATCGATGATAGACTGGACAGGGAAAATGTGGCACATATACACCAAGGAATACTATGCAGTCATAAAAAACGATGAGTTCGTGTCCTTCTTAGGGACATGGATGAACCTGGAAATCATCATTCTCAGCAAACTGATGCAAGAACAGAAAATCAAACACTGCATGTTCTCACTCATCGGTGGGTGTTGAACAATGAGAACACATGGACACAGGGAGAGGAGCATCACACACTGGGGTCTGTCAGGGGGAAATAGGGGAGGGACAGTTAGGGCTAAGGAGTTGGGGAGAGATAGCATGGGGAGAAATGCTAGATATAGGTGATGGGGAGGAAGGCAGCAAATCACAGTGCTATGTGTGTACCTATGCAACAATCTTCCATGTTCTTCACATGGACCTCAAAACCTAAAATGCAATTTAAAAAAAAAAACAAAAAAAAAAACCTCACTATCTATTCCACCAATTTTGCTAGGGTCATTTTGCATATTGAAATTTAACCAAATTATTTCATGTTTCTGTTTCAAGTCATATGCATGTCTGATATCAAATAAATAGTAAGCTTCTGCTGAAGGTCCCTGAAGGAATTTCTAGTATCATTTGTTTCTCAATTAAATTATTAGCCACTAATTAATTGAACCCAGAAGTGGTTAAAAATTTCCTTTGCATATAAGGATGCCTTTTCTATGTTAAGGGCCAAATGGGACTATCTTCTTGTATTACCATATAATCTTAAGATTTTACTTTTGCATATGAATAACAGTTAAATATTTGGGATTAGACAGATGACATAATTTTCTGCTCCATTTTATTATTTTATATTTCTGAACTTATTTGTTAAAGAGTTATGGCCTATTACCTCCAAATAAGATGCGAATAAATTAATTCATGAACACTGAAGAAAATTTAAAATGCTAATTGACTCTTGCATGAAATAGTTTAGAATTCATTGAATAAATTTTTAGACTCAAATCTGTATCTGGAAAATCTGAACATATCAAAGAAACTATAGCTGGGTCCTTCAAAGACTGTACCACTAACACCTAAAAAAAGAAACCACAAGGAGGTTCTGGGACTAGAACATCTTTAATGATGAAGCTGTCTGCGTACTAAAGAAAATTAGACTAGGCAGGTGACCTGTACAAAGTATTAGTGATAACACAACATTCAGCTTCCTAAGAGTTAAAATGTGCTACGTACATGGAGGGAGGTGATACTGAGTTAAGGATTCCTGGTACAGAGAAGCAGAGAGACCAACCTACTTCACATTATTCATAGAATAGAGAATATTCTCAGCTAACAAGCTGGAAAAAAAAAAATTGTTCCAAAAGGTAGAATTACAACCAATGCCAACATTTACAAATTCCATCATGTTCAAATAAAAGGACAAAAATGAACATTTCTTTTTTAAAAGAAAACAAATTTCCCAAACTATAGCCTATCTGTGAGCACTTCTTTATCACTCTGACTATTCTTTAAAGGCCTTAAAGGCATTTGTGATAAAAACAAATAAAAGTGCCCAAGTTTTAAGAAGTCATATGTTAACTTAGGATGTTATCTATACATTTTTTTAGGCCAATCGATGTTTTTTTTGTTTTTTGTTTGTTTGTTTGTTTGTTTAGTTGTTCATGTTCTATGATGTATCAATGTTTTTTAAGAGGTGTAGATACTGGTAACTTTTCTCTTTAAATAAATGTTTATATATGTCACCAATAACACTAGCCTGTAGCACACAGCATCCCATTAAAAAAAACACATTGCTATTAAAAAAAAAAAAAAGTACACTGAAACAAACAAACCGAAAAATTCTAGTTTGAATAGAAAAATTACATCCAGAGATTCTTTTCCCATTATCTTTTAGGACAACCACAGAACTCTTTCAATCCGTACCCTTAATACAGAAGGTACATCTTAATAAAGAAGTCTAGTTGCTAAGTACTGAAATAAAACATTACTTACAACAATTTCCTAGTTATCTACAACTTGCTTCTTGTAGCAATTGTCAGCTTCTTAAGATGACTTGTTTCTATAAGCTCCTCAGTGTCAATATATCCCAATAATACATTTATTACTTGTACAATTTATTATTTCACACATAATTAAGAATATAAAAACATCATCTCACTAAAGAAAAACACACATTCAATAAGGCCAAGTTCTAGTTTTAAAAAGAAGCACTTGATGAATTTTCTTCTGAATTCATTTCTCCAGAAGACCAGTCCTTAAGGACTTCTGGAGTCTAGCTATGTTGGCATCTAACGCCGCAAGGCCATTTCTGAAGTCTTGTTCATCACGAGAAGTGAACGTTGAAAATGAAGAGATGCTCCAGTCAGACATCAAGTCAGAAGTGAAAACACTACCATCACAGACAGTACTGCCCTGCACTTGAATGCTGTTGCTAAGACAACTTGATGGGCCAGCACATGCAGTTTGTTCCTCTGGATCCTCGGTGGCAGCAGGGATCTTACCAATTGCTTCCTTTATTTTCTTGAGGAGCTGTATGTCCTTCATATCGGATGTTCTGGAAAGCTTTTCAGGTACATCTTCTGTTTCCTTTGTTGAATAGGAACAGGCTACAGATGTACACAGTTTATTTTCTTTTCCAGAGACAGCAAGTCCACTGTTGCTGACTAGCTGTGTTATAGCGGCTCTTATTTGGGGCTGAGGGGATAGCCTCTTAGAAAGTGGTGATTTCTTTTCAGAAGTGTTTCTAGCAAAAGGAATGTATATTGTATTATCCAAATTATGCTCATTTTCTAATAAAGCCATAGTTTCGCTCCCTTCATCAGAATTCTGTTTTGAAAGGGCAGAAATAATTCCGGGTGTAGATACTTCCTCCATGTCCCTAGTGTTGCTATGTTGAGGGCCTCTGGAGGGCAGAACATTTTCATAGGGTTTGTCTGGCTCTATGGTTGCCTCATTTTTAATTGTAGAAAGTGACTCTGAATATATAAAACTGTGATTTGTTTCTAACTTATTTAGATAGCTCATTATGGAGGTGTGCGCAGGAGCTGGGTCATGTTGAAGTTGTTTATCATGAATGTTCAAGAGTGATTTGGTAAGGTTATTCCCAGGCTTGCAGCGAGCACTGTCCACACTAAGATCAGAGAGAAGCTTTGCCATGCTAGTCTGTAAAGTTCTGTCAAGAAGAATTTAGAACACTAATTATTATTTTTTACCTATTTCTTTAATTCACTAATCTATATCTCTATTTTTTTTTT